AAACTCAACACTATCATAATAATCAATGCTAATTATTTAATGACAGTAATCACTATTTCCTCCCAACAGCCCTGTAAGGTTTTCCTGTGTAAGACAATATAATGTAAATACATTTTAAAGGTTTCAGACTCAAGTTTGTGTGTTTTATTTTATTCAAATGGGGAAAAAATTAAAAAGAAATGTATTTGCAAATATAGACCAGAAGACCATAGATTACACAAGTAGTAATAACATATTTAGATTAAATATAATCTTAAAGTTAGTTTCCAGTGGAGTCCTCTTTCTAATGAGAACAGGAAGTAGATTTTTTGGTTTCTCTATTACAAGACTAATCCAGATGTACCAGCCATTGCTCACCTGTGTCCACACAGACCAAAGAGATGCTTTATGATACTGCTAATACAGTTTGTCCCCAAATTCTTTAGACAAAGACAGTTTTTGTGGTTTTGCTTCTTTACACCAACACAGTGACTTGATTCCACCAAAAAACAGAATCATTGCATCAACTGTTTGGGAAGACATTTTTATACATTTTATACACAGTCCTCCAGGTTTAGAGACTTAAAAGTTGAATAATTGACTGAACAGTAGTTTCATGGCCAGGTTTCCCTTGTAATTCCATACTAAATAAATACCACCTCCACCCCTCTCCTCTCCACCTACCTTTTGTCCTTCCTCCACCCACCTTCTCTACAGATTCAAGATGTAGAAACTGCAAAATGCTCCTGAAGAAAATTATATCTTGAATATGCTGATTACCCTGCTGCCACCATCAACAGACTTTAAATAAGCAAAATAAAAGCAAATAAAATTGAAATAATTTTCAAGCAGACTAGTTTGGTCATTTTCAGCAAGTTTGTAGTTTCTTTAACTCTCTAATACATTTCACCCAGACTTTTAATGGCTTCATATTTAGAGACTGTTTTCCACTGATGTGGAATCTCTTGTCTGCCCTGGAATTTAAAGTCATAGTGCCTTTCCAGTTCATGCTGAAATCGACACACAAACCATTTCCAGTACGCTTGAGATCCATCAGAGGGCATTCTCCAGGTACAATACTGTGAACCAGCACTTCTGTACTGTTTATCGGGAGTTGACCTCCCTGAATAATGATAAGGGTAAAAACTGTAATTACTTGAAACCTGTTCTGTACAGACGTGCATGCCAGACTCACTTGTATGTCCCCAGTGCTCCCCACTGATCACTGAGGGTTGGTGAAAAGGAGTGCTGTGGTCATAAGGACTGTGAGCTTTCATGGTATTGGTACAAGCAGCTGCACAGAATGGACACTTTACCCAGGAGCAGTTACACAGCTGATCTATGAGGAAATCTTCAGCCTTCAGGCGGGATTCATTCAGCTTTTCCAGGGAGAGTGATGCTCAGTGATAGATTTAAATCCTCTTTTAATCTCTACCTTGAGGAAATCAAAATGTTTTATGTCACTGAAGTTTTCAAAACATATGTTGTCAAATTGGTTGAGGTTGAACTTAGCGAACAGATTAATTTAGAATTTTCAATATGCACATTTCGGTATTTTTTTACAACAGGCTGTGCTTACCTTTCTATTCTGTTGGACCGGTCCTCTGCTTGCCTCGCCTCACGATCTCACCACAGGCCAAATCTGTCTTCCTCAGAACACCAAAGATCCGGGTCACGGCACCAAGTTGTTTAATTCTTAGTTCTTTGATGTTTGGGCTGAAGGAAGGACAACACTCGGTGTGTAAATGCTCAATCAACAATCATTTTATTCCATATAATTCTCTTTATTCCATACAACACTTTTGAGCATAAACCATCCGGAGGGGAGATGAGCACAGGAGGGTGTCCGCCTGATCTTGGATTGTCTGAGCGTTTCTCACATTCTTATTGCTTTAGCCCCCCTCCAAAGTCATAATACCTAAACATCCACATTCTTTCTCTCTCTCAGTGAGCCTAAGTTATGACCTTGGCTTCCTGTGCAGTATGTTCTGTTCTTTTCTAATCAGACAAATAAGGCCATGATTCTCTGAAAACAATATTTCTTATAACGCAGCAGTAGCATGCATCATAAAACAATATAATTCATTCACAATAAATCAGCAGTCTAATGTAATACAAATCAGTTTAATAAATGTAATAGTTGTCACCTTCTTCTAAGTCAATAGTTAAATGCAACCTAAAACTAAATAATAATTTCACAATTTTTAATTAGGGGTATAATGTGGCAAAGATAATATAATCATCTCACAGTAATCAATTATTGTAAATGTAAATGTTATCAGGAAATAATCAGACAGCAGAGGGTTTTCAGGAAACACTTGTTCAATTTCTATGCCATATGCCAGGTGGACAAAAAGCAGGAGGAGAGAAGCTGCAGAGAGGCGTGTAAGACTGCAACTCTGGTTCCTAGTCCCAACTCTGGATAGTCATATTTTGGGGGGTTTAATAAATTTGTCGATATTTCTAGAAATGAGAGCTGCTCCATCCAAAGTGGGATGGATGCCATCTCTCCTAACAAGACCAGGTTTCCTCCAGAAGGTTTTCCAATTATCTATGAAGCCCACATCGTTTCTGGGACACCACTCAGACAGCCAGCAATTTAAGGAGAACATGCGGCTAAACATGTCACTCCTGGTCTGATTGGGGAGGGGACCAGAGAAAACTACAGAGTCCGACATTGTTTTGGCAAAGTTGCACACCGATTCAATGTTGATTTTAGTGACCTCCGATTAGCGTAACCGGGTGTCATTACTGCCGACGTGAATTATGATTTTACTGAATTTACGTTTACTCCAGCAGTTTTAAATTTTCCCCAATGTCGCTGGAAGACAATTGACCATGGTTGCTGTCTCTAGCTTCACATGTCTGAGAACAGAATCAACAATTACCAGAGGTTGACCCCTGGCGGGTGTGTCGCCGAGTGGGGAAAAACGGTTAGACACATGAACAGGTTGGTGGTGTACCTGGGGCTTCTGTTTAGGGCTATGCTTCCTCCTCACCATCACCCAGCTGCCCTCTTTCCCCAGCTGCTTGGGGTCTGCCGGGGAACAGCTAGCGGGGCCTACACTTTCTTCGGCTGCACCAGCTACAGGGGCCTGGCTAGCTACGGGTGAATGAAGGGTGCAAAGCTGAGTCTCCAATTCAGTAATCCTGGCCTCCAGAGCTGCAAATATGCTACATTTGTTACAGATATCATTACTGCTAAAGGAGGCCGAGGAGTAACTAAACATCTGACACAATGAGCAGGAAAGTGCAGGAGGGACAGGTGAAGTAGCCATGTGTAACCACTGACTCATTTTCAGTAGTTTAGGACAGCCAAATTACGGACCAGTTGCTAGGATCGGGAGGGTTACAATAGAAAGCGAGGCGAATACGGAATGAAATGGCTGGAGACAGGCATTTGAGCAGCAACTGTTATTATTTTGCACAAAAATGAAATAAACAAGACACAAATTCCACATTGACAGTAGTACTGGTATTAATAACAATAAGAAGAAGAAGAAGAACAAGAATAAGCCAGCAAAACAAAAATAACCCCCAAAAAAGTTTTTTTATGTTTTATGTGTGTCATTTATTTATTTTGCTGTTTTGTTATTCTATTGTTTTAACTTATTTTCTGTACAGCACTTTGTTCCTGTGCTGGGTATTTTAAAGTGCTTTATAAATAAAATTGGATTGGAAATTGGATTAGTTGCTGTGACCTTGTGGTGAGATTAACTCTGAGATTAACAAAGATTTGAACGGGTACATAAAGCTGAGGATCAGGAGTTTTTCATCACGAGTTCTCCAAACCATGCAGCGGTATATTAATGAATAACCTCATATTTTGGATGGATCATCTCAGGTGTTTCTCTGACTGAGGTTTGGTGTGTTTTCAGCATCTTTCTGCTGCCATGAGATTGCATTTGTTCCTAACCACTGGGAGCCCTCGTGTTCCCAGTGGGGTGGATGTGGCTCAGGTGGTAGAGCAGATCAAGATTGGAAGGTTGGTGGTTCGATTCCTGGCTGCCCTAGTCTTCATGCAAAATATCCTTGGGCACGATACTAACCCCAAGTTGCCCTCTGATGCGTTCATTGGAGTGTGAATGCTTATTAGTTGCACTTGAGTTTAGAAGTGCCTGTGTGAATGGGTGAATGAGGCATGTTGTATACAGTGCTTTGAGTACTCCGGGAGAGTAGAAAAGCGCTATATAAGAATCAGTCCATTTAACTTTTATCAAGGGCAAAACACTTAGCGTTCATCCTCCAACTTCACTGTGCTAATGTGTTGATATTATCCTTAATTATAGCTCTGTAGCTGGCACACCATTATATGCTGACAACACCAAATTCAGTAACCCTACAAACGTCATTGCTGTTTGGTTTTCTGTCTTCATTATGTCCCAGTGATAGCAGAGTTGTATGTCTTAATTTTTCAGAAACCCCTCGGTCAGAACATGGTATATCATCTTTAGATGGAAACTAGCCAGCTAACTCCTTGCTAATTTCTAACTCTGTGAATCTTCATAAATCCAGTTTT